GGGGGGGGGAGGGGGGAGCCGCCAACCTCGAACTTAAAACTTACACTCACTATTTTCTTCGAAAACATACGTGAGTTCCACAAAATCTAGCTAAATCATAGTCAAATCTAAAATATTAGACGATTTAGTTTTAATTATGAAAAACGTGAGCTAAAACAATTGTCAAATGTCCATTATGATTCGTGCGAGTCTTCATCACCATAGTGTATTTGATATTTGGCCATGATCTTAAGAACTGCTTAATCTTTTAAACTCGAAGACATTTCATTTGACATAATGTTGTAGATTTGACTATTTTTGGTTAGATCTTTCGTCTGAGAGAACAAAATCGAAGATAAAAAGCTTTCTCAAGTGACAAATAACTAAGGTAGGGTGATCTTCTGTTGGGCTATCTCCTAAGAAGTTTATCTACTAAAGAGGCTAGATCTTGATAAACTGACATTAATTGTTTACGAAAAAAATAACAATAAATTACTTTAGTCTTAGACTGCGAAATAATCTATATATTATAAATGTTCAATTTAATAGGATGTGGATGTATGGAATAAAGATTTTCAAAACAATAGCAGACAAAAGTGTCAACATGGTTAAGACAATCTTCTAAAAAAAACCAGCGTTGTCAAGTTTTGAGTACGGAACAGTTACGAAATTTTTAAAATTAAGTAATTTAGATCTTTTTATAAGACAATCTAATAAGGATCTGCACAAAAGAATTAATTGTAAAAAAAACAGAAGAACTTCTGGAGAAATCTAAGAGGAAAGTTTTTTTTTTCTTGTTTGTCTAGAATTTTCTAAACGTCTATATTTCAATTTTATCTATAAATTCAATGAATTGAATCGGAAATATCCAATCAATCTAAATAATTTAGTCATTTTTAATTTAAATATAATCAGTTTAAAAAAAAAAGATGTGTAACACAATTCTAACATACGAGTCAGAATAGTAAAGTACGAGAAGAGATAAAATTCGAGTAAATTGTACTTTCAAACTTTTTATAGGTGATTACTAATACGATATTTTTATTTCATTTAAATCCTTCATTTGTAACGAAAACTTAAATTCGATTGAGAAATTGGAAAAATCAAATAGAAGACAAGATTTCCTAGATGTCTTTCGAAATTTCAAAAGTAGCTTAACACTCGTATTTCTGATTCGTCCCTGTTTGATTTTTTTTCCTTAGTTCATCCGCACTCTACATTCGTCTTCAAATTAGGTATAGCTGTGAATGTTCGTAATCGATCGAATAGTCAGTGACGATAGATCTAGAAAAATTACACGATAATCTTTATTAAAATATCTGAAAAGCAGGTTGGTTTATTGCTAAGAATGAACGCTTTTCACTTAAAAAAAGGAGAATATTAAAGTTTTTTTTTTTTATTTATTTTGATTAATTCTTTCAAATTGATAATCAGTGCTTGAAATAGTGTGCGATCCTTACTCTTTGTCTATCTTAATCTGTTAACATAGATTACTCTATCGATTGATGGTAAAAGAAAATTGATTCTTAAAAGTCCTACCTGATTGTGGGATTTTCGGGACTATGGGTTTCGGTGGCGATGGTACAATTGGTGTTGGTGAAATTTTCTTGGCAGGTGTCTAGAAAAAAATGTATGGCTATAGACATCGATAAATTTGAAATAGATGTGAATTCTCACTGTTGGTACAAGTTCAATCAGGGGAAATGGTGGTTGAATTTCTTTGAGTTGTATCAAATAAAGATCTTTACCTTGATTGAGACATGCCTCAACTTTAAATTGTCTTGCAGCCGGAAGAAGAATTTCATGTTCCGTTTTAATACTGGAATATTTTTGGATATCTTTGCCACTATTACATTCAATTGTAAAGAAAGTTCTTGGACCTGTTGTACCCAAAAATTGTTCATTTTGGAGAACGCTTATCTTCGATGTGCAAGAACTGAATCCCCACCAAACGAATGTTTTTCCTTCTGGATATTCCTTTCTCATGTCCCGTTTAATTCCACGAAAAACATTAGACGCTACTGTTGGGAGCTGAGCCAATGCCGTCAGAATCAATCTTAGAAAAAGGAACCACGGTTGCAGCTTTCGACGATTTTCATTACGTAGTGTCTCGTTTAAAACATAATACAGACACTCTTCTTGTGGTTCCCATTCCATTGTATAAAGTGTGATCGAAGCTGCTTGATCTATTGGTAGTTCTATTGATGGAAGTTCTGAACATTTCACTTTTGCAATGTAAGCCATTCGTTTTACATCAGGTACATATGACACTACAAGTTCTACAGCCTCTTCAAGTGACACCAGAGGCTTTTTTTCGTAGCCTTGAATGGGCATTAACATTCGGCAGGGTTCTGTGGCAATATCCGAAAAACGTTGTGTGTGTGTTTGTTCTTCATCAAGATCGACATATTTCGAAGCCATATTTGAGTTGACCGATAGTGTTTATCAAGTGAAAACTAAAAAAAAAGAAATGGTATAAGTTATTGAATCTAAATATGCATATTCTCAAAGTAGAACTATATCTTGCAAAAATAAATATAAATATAGTATTTATCAACAGGTATAAAATATTATTAGAGATGTGCATAGATTTGTATTCATCTGCGCTCATCATTGATGAAATAACTCCAGTAGAAAAAGACACTAGATTCTTGTTCAAACGGCTAATAGTAGGATGATATCAATCAAATAGAAATCTAACCGAATAAAATCTGAAGAAAATCCTAGTCATTTTCATAAAATTTCTTAAATAGCTGACTATAGTCCCAGAAAGTGATAATCCTGTCATACATTAATCAAGATTCATCTTGAAAGCTTCGTCTTATCTGTTTAAATGATTTTCTCATTCGTTTATTGTTTTTTGAGAAATTAAATAAAACTTGTAATTGGTTGGAATATCGTCTCAAAATATGCTTATGTTTTTACTCATCACTCGATATTGAAATTATTATCCAATGCTAGTCATATTGATCAGAATCTTCAGCACTATTCAATCACATCAACTATGAAATAAAGATCCTTCTTTGATGACTTAGAGACGGTAAAAATTTTCTCACTTAAAAGAAATCAGTCTTCATTGAACAGTTTTTCTCTTTTGAAAACATTTTGACGCGAGCATCACTTTCATTTTCGTATTAGAATATAAGTTGAAATCGAGCGTAATCAAAGCTTGGAAAAGATGTTCACAAAGTGAAAAGATAACTATGTATATAATGAGTATTACGAGATAGTTTTGTCGAGTTGTGATCTGCATATATTGTATACTTAGTTGACTGTAGTCATTTCGTTTTAGAACTTTTTATTTTAATCTACATGTTGTTTCAAACATAACTGTTTCATCATACATATTTAGTTATTTCTATCAATTTCAATAGTCTTCAGAAAATATCTACATGACATTTTCAAAATATATCACGGTTCTCTTCTTTTGTTTTATGATTTTGATTTCTAGCCATCTTATATTCATACATCAAAACACTGGTCCTATGTTTTTTTTGGTGTGTATGCAGTTAATCTAGTGTGTTTTTGAAAGTTGTTTAGAAAAAAATTATATTAACAGTAAACATTTTTTCAAATCTAGTATGAGAAAATGAAAATTAACATGTTTCACTTAACTAAAGAGGGATCATATCTGGTCAATATCCTAGGCATGATCCTATATTTGACATTATCAGAACTCTTAGTATAGGAATCGTACCAGGATTCATGACGATACGTCATGCTTCTCAAACTATCTTCATTTTACTGAATTCTGAGTCTATTAGAGAACATTGTCTAAATATTAAAACAGTATTAATGACCATGTCACCACTTTTTTAACAACTGCGTCGCAGTTGCGCGTAACTACAACGCACTGGCCGCAGTTGAGATTAAAGAAATAGACTGCTTTCACTGCGACGCATTTGCGTTCGCATCTACGACGCAGTGAGCGCAGTGCCTGCTAAAGTGTTCACTGTTCTCGCAGTTGCTGAAAAAATAGCCAATAATAAATAAGTATCTTAATTTTCTAATTCGATGGTTCTTAAACACCAATAATAACGGCTAAACGGAGTATAAAAGGGCACACCTCAAGCATACGAGCTCATTTCTTTCTTTTTCTATTACCAAGACACTTTATCTAGCCTCTCTAGTTATCAAGGTAAGCATCATGGATACTTTAATAAAATAGTGTAAGTAGAGATTTTTTCACAAAAGAAGAGTTTTTTAAGAAAAGGACGTTTTTTTTATAAAGTTTGATCAAAGGCTTTAGGAGTCGAGGAATCCGAATCTGAAATCGGTTTTTCGAAATTTTGAGTTCGATTTTACCACAGAAATTTTTTTCTATTAAAAAAAATATTTTTTTACAAAAATTTTTTTTTGCTAAAAAAACTCCTTTTTTACAAAAAAATTTTGTGGAAAAATCGAACTCAAAATTTCGAAAAACTGATTTCAGATTCGGATTCCTCGACCCCTAAAACCTTTGATCAAACTTTATAAAAAATCGTTCTTTTCTTAAAAAAGCTCTTCTTTTGTGAAAAAAATCTCTACTTAAACTATTTTATTAAAGTATCCATGATGCTTACCTTGATAACTAGAGAGGCTAGATGAAGTGCCTTGATAATAGAAAAAGAAAGAAATGAGCTCGTATGCTTGAGATGCGTTCTTTTATATATTTTTTATTTTCTAGATATTTATTTTTTGTATTTTTTAGATTTTTATTTTTTTTCTAGGTTTTTATTGTTTTAAAATTTTTTAAGCTTTTCATTTCTTATAAACTTTTTTAATTTTTTAAAACTTTTCTATTTTTTTAACTTTTTAAAAAATTTTTTTTTTTAGCAATTTTTTGTAATTTTTTAATTTTTTGTATTTAAAAAATTTTTGCAATTCCTAATAAAAATATTAATAAAGTGATAACGTTGGCTATGTCGTCTTTTTTAGAAGCTGCAATTTTTTTATCGTAACTACGCACAACTGCGATTTTTTTATCGCAGTTAGACTGCAGTCGAACACATGGGGAGCTACCACTCGATACTTACAACAACAACAACAGATTCTATCTACTTTATAATAGTCTAAAAGCTTCAATTCCGATATGCTTTTCTTATATGTTCTCATTACATCTACAAATTCGATTATTACGTAAAATTTCTAGCAGAATTTTCTTGTTAGCATTTTTCTGTAATGTTTTGAAACTGACTTAAAATTCAGTAAAATGACTAGTTTTACGAAACATTTGAGGGCTTTTATTTAAACTACAAGTTCTATCAATTCCAACTTAGATTACAAGTGAAAAATACCAGTCGTGTATGGATCTCTTCATATTTAAGCAAGCGCTCGTCTGCAACTCTCACGTAAACATTGAAATTAAGCAAACATGATGCAGTGACAACTATCGTCACTGAAAGACATCTTCTTTAGTAAAACATTAGTCTATTTCATTACTAATGTCGACTCTTTCGTTTTCTTCGAATAGTTCTCATAGATTTTTGAAATATGCATGATCATCTTCGAAATTGAAGATCCTTATGTCTGTTTAAAATTATTAATAACAAAGAATGTCATATTCATAACTACATGTATAGTAATTTCATTTATGTTTTAGTATTCTATCAGACAAAATAATATTCAAAGAAAAAAAAATTTGAAAAATGGATAATTAATTTTGATTGATACTTTAAGCAAATTTGGACTATTTAGATAACAAATACAAGACCGACTCATCATATTCAAGAGTTTTCAAGTAGATAAAGCAGTCTCATAAAGCAGGAAAAGGTATCATTGATGAACTTCATTCTGACTGTTCGGTTCTGAATTTTACATATGTAAATATTCAGCGACGGTTCACATTCAACTGGTGATAACATTATAGCTTAGATTGATCTCTCTTTGTCATCATAAAATAGGACACTTTCTTCACGATTGTACAAATATGAGAAAAGTTACATCATGTAGATGTCTCACCAACTCAATAATAAAAAAAAGGAAAAAAGAAGTTTGTTTGTCGTTCAAGTTTGGCAAAATTTCGTGATGACTCATTGCAATCACGTCATATTCTGATAGGTGATTATGTATGACTTTATGACAGATAGTTTATGCAAATTCCACCAACAATAAAGGTCAATATATATTTTTTTCTAATCTTTTTATTTAATGATATTAGAACTTCATATAAACCGTAAACCTTATCTAGAATTGAACAAAATTAAATGAAGTCAATTCTAACTGAAAAAATCAATTTTTAGCGAAAATTCTTATCTTTACAACTCTATATGAATCCAATGTTACTGAATTTTTATCTCAAGATGAAACTATTTTGCATAAAAAAAAGTATGTATATTCCAATAAAATTCGACAAAACATTATACAACTATTTTTTTCAAGTTTAACAAATATCCTAACACTATGATAGAATAGTTTTTGAGAAATATTGTTAAATGGTTTACAATTATGACCGATAATGAATTACATAATCTCGATCCATGTTATATTGATATTTATTAAGTATTGACTCTTGAATATTATAAGATAGAGTAATTATTGTAAGAGTGTCCTCTGGTTGAACACAAAGAACAATAATTTAACACCATCACTCTAATATATTGTTATAAATGATAATCTAGTTCGCAACTTAGTCAATTATTCATATACTACACTTTCTTATCTGTTGCTATATAGTCACCAATTATTTCTAGAACATGAAATTGACAATCTTGTCATCGATCAAATTAGGTAATATAAAGATAAAGATAATATTTCTAACATTCGTAACCATAAGCAATTGCTAAGAGACTGCACACATTTACTCTTTCCATTTTCCATATTATCTTTTTCTTTTCTTCTTCCTTTTCTTTTATTGTTCAATATTTTTGCACTTATATGGATTATATATTTTCGATTGTCTCAATTGGCAGATGTATATTGTGATTACATTATGAGTACAAACTTTAATTCGTTTTACACACCCATTTCATCTTTAACATAATCCCACTACCTTTCTCGTTACATGATGACGATTCCAAAACGTCAAAGAATAACACACAATTGTGTAACACGGATTTAATATTCAAAGAAGGTTTATGAACGCTAATGAAACTACCATTCTATAGTGAAATCTATTGTTAGCTAACTCAATACATTAGCTTAGTTCACGACTGATTATACTATAAGAAAGAATTCGTTTCTTAAGAAACTTATATCAATTTGCAACTTCTTTCAAAAGTATCTTCTTCATTTTTTAATGTTCAGATACCATTAAATTTTCGCAAATACTCATGATAACATCTTAAAAGTGTTTTTGAACATTCTTAAGTTCGTATACAAAGTTTTGTTTTAGAATCTGCAATGATGCCTGAAGATATTTGTTCGGTTACGAAAGTGTCTCAATGGAAATTTTAACTTTTCGAGCTTGTCGAGTCTTCAAAAGGTGCAATAATTTACCGAGA